AAAGACCTAGTGCAGCGGCCGCTTCATTGGTGATATATGACTTGCTTGAGCTGGAGTCAAGAAATGCCGTTACGGTCACCTGTTTGGATGGGTTGGAAGGGTTGAAAAGACTCACGTTAGTACACATCAAGGTGGCTCGCTGACTAGTGTGCTCTGCCTTGGATAGTTGATTCATTGAACAGGTGAAAGTCGTAGTTTCTCTCAATTCTGCTTGCGCTTGTGATTCCAGACCGTTCTTAACAGTTGGGTCTGCTGAAACTCCAACAAAGTGTGCTTGTGTCCTTTGAGGATAAATTCTTCGAGGGCGAGACGAGGATGTAGATGTTGTTCTCGGTCGATTGTGTGTTAGAGGTGCCGGGTGGGATTGGTCAGCTGATTGTTTACGATCAGCCAGAAAACAGTGCCGGGTGGGTTTGGTCAGCTGATTGTTTACGATCAGCCAGAAAACAGTGCCGGGTGGGTTTGGTCAGCTGATTGTTTACGATCAGCCAGAAAACAAAGTGAGGAATGATGTCTTTCGCAGCAAAATCGGCAGAGGCGTTTAGATATGCAGTCCTTGGTGGAGTGTAGAGAAGAAAGGCAGTTGTAGCACGGACGAAGTAATTTTGACTTGTTCTCTCCTTTGTTTAGGGAGTCGCGAACACGGTGCATTGTATAGAGATGTGTAGAGCAGAACGACAATAAGGGCACTTCTTGACGTTGTTCTTCCTTTGAGGCAATTTCTGAGGCCGTCGGACGGGTCGTGCAGTTGCATGAAATCCTTGGTAGAGGGTATCGTGACTTCGATGTTGACGAGAATAATATTCCATTTCAAATAGAGTAGAGTCCTTGCGCACAATATCGGTTAAGAGGTTCAGTAATTCGGAAGGTGAAACGTTGTGGCTGTGAGCGGTTCTGTCGTAAATTTGACTCCGAACTCGAAATGGCAGTTTGTTGAGCAGAAGAGCTCCGAGACCTGTTTCCGTCGAGTCATCTTGCCTTTCGAAAATTGTCTGACGAGAGAGAAACATCTGATTGTATAGCGTAGCGAGATGACGGCCTTCTTCATCGCATGGTGGCAGTTGCGCTAGTTTCGTGTAGAGAATATGTTTCAGTGTCACTTCATCGTCGAACAAGGTTCTGAGAATTTTCCTAGCTATGTGGTAATTTTCCTCAGTCATAGATAGGACCTGTATGGATTGCAGCGCTTTCCCGCGCAAGCACGACTTCTAGGGAGAACTTTGTCGTGTTATCCAGTTGAGACTTGTTACCAACCAAAGTATCAAATCGAGATCTGAATTCAGGGTAATCCAACAATTTCCGTCAAACGTGGGAAGTTCCAGTTTGGTAATGGAAGCGTCAATGAAGTTCAGAAGAGTAGAATCCGTCGCAGCGATTGGATGACGGTGATACGAGTTTGCAATCGAATGCAGTGTTGCGGTTTCTTCTTATTTCGTGACTTCGTGGCTGTCGATGAGTATCGTGGTTGTCCCGAGAAGCTTCAGAGGAATCTGATGGTGGGTTGAGTTTTTGCCGAGCATACCTCTTATCGATAAAATTCGAGAGTTCATCCCATTGCTCCAA